TTGTGGATGATTGAAATGCCACACTATGTAGACCTCCTAATCCCAAGCAACGTACACGTCCAACATGATCCTTTCCCAACACTTTACTAAGACTATCATTAGTTGAAATTTCATTAGAGTTGTCACTTTGACTCATTTCTGTTGACATCTTCTCCTGAAAGAAACATGAATAAGTTCTTAAAGTCATTTTCATTTGTTTCTTCAATTTTAGAAGCAGTTTACTAAAAATTAAACAAATAAAAATTTGCATAGACTAATGTTCCAGCTTAATTTGCAAACTTGGCTATATCTCAAACTACAACTATAATTGGAGTTTTTACATACCAACTTTTTTATGGGAAAAAAAGTAGTGTCCAGGCATAACTAATAACATTTACCTGTACCTGATACATACCAAATATGCCTAGTTGAAATCATGGTAATTTTACTTTTCTAAAATGCAAAATTTAACAGTTGGATTCAATCATCCCTATCAGTCAATTCATTTTCAGGGAACCTTTGTGGAGCATAATTAGTACTATATAATTCATTTATTTTTTTTTGGGTGATTCCGGTATTTTAAGTTATTTTTAATTATATTGTTGGGATAAAATATTTATCAATTTTGTGATAATTAATTTTTATCAAGAGAATTTAGCTATTCATCTAAGTCTGTCTTCACAACTATGATTGTTTAAGGTAAACTATATACTAAAACTAAGTTGATGTATAACACAAGTTTTGCTTCGGAAGGGTTGTTTGTAATTAAATTGATATTTGTTATTGTTTTGGGAATTTTATTACATAATATAGGTATAAAAAAGCAACTGAAACATATATGTTTCCTAGTCCTAGCTACTTTCTTTCATCTGCGTGTTTAGAATTGAATTTCAACTTATTTTTATCTGTATTGGCTGATAATGTTTTAATTCAATGATGCAAGGTAAACTTTTCTTCTTTTTTTTTTCTTTCATAATCCTAAAGTTGAGATGCTACTTATGTTTCTCTCTATTCAAGTTCTTTGGTCTGCAATTTGGAGGTCTGGCTGTCACCATAAACAGTGCCCTATATAAAATTAAATTTGGCAGCAATCTTCAAACGCCACATTAGACAACAAATCTTAACCACATAGTAAAAGCAATACCTTATTGTTTATCTGCTTGGGAGAAATAAACTAATGTTTAACCATTGACAGGATAAGCTAAACATAAGCCCTAACCACTTAAGAATGAAGCAAAACAAAATTTTAACGCTTAATCATTCATACATCAACATTTAACAGTCATGAGCAAAGGTTTATATCAAAGCAATCTTATACAGATTTTTTAGGGGACCAGGCTATGCATATACATGCCATATGAAATTCTGATCGGAATAAATCACAGTAAATAGAATTCTTTTTAGATACAAAAAAAAAGTATTTCTCAACCAACCAATTGTGTGTAAAAGGTGATTAATAATTAATATGTTCAATTCAAATTTATTTGCAACATATCCCAATAGACCTTGCCTCCTCATTGATATAAGACCTTACAATCCTGTATGTTATAGATAATAATTGACAGGTCAACATGGTGTTATTCTGTCATGCTTCTGAAAAATAACATGACTGAAAAAAGTTCTATAAAATATCAAAGAGTCTTGACACATGTTGATTGTTACCTTCCCTGCCTTGTCCCCTGAACCAGGGATATGTTCATAATTTCTGTATTGCTCAAGCCTAGTTTTTCGATATCTTTCTATAGTGATGCCAAGGCTATTCCAAGGAATTCCCTGGATGTCTTGTCCTCTTCTAGCCTCAGCAGCTGTAAGCCTGTAACTACCTTACCACTCTGTACCAACACTACAATATTAGTCCTAGAAATCTAAAGATAACCTTATACATAGTTTATATTTGCTTGATGAATCATTCAAGTATGAGGAACGTAATTTGACACCACCACTAATTGCTAATGATTAACCACAATACGAAACATATTCATCAACAGCATATTCATAAAATAGCAGAAACTGAAAACTGCAAAACAGCACTATACAAACCGAGTTATCATATTCATCTGTGTCAGACTCTACACCACCCCGTTCTCTATTAATAGATTCATCGTCCATGCCATCTTCTACATCTTCCATTTCACATTCATCCGCCATATATTCAGTATCACCCCCTTGGTGATTGGACATGTTCTGCCCAACTAATTAGAGCCTATAATAACAAGAATGGGAAAAAAGATAGAAAATCAGCGGCAAACACTAGTCCAGCGTGAGCAAAAATTGGGTCCAAAAGTTTACATGTTTAAGTAAAAAATAAATAAACAACTTCCAGAGTTAAATTATCACCAAACAAGGAGCTCCGCGTTGAGTAATGATGGAAAACAAGCATCAAATATTATTCAATTTTATACCTAATTATGTTTCAATAATTGGAAACTCATATAAGTATAACCATGATTGGCATGTGCTACAACTAGCTATTTCTATGAACCTATTAAAGGTGATTAGCGTGGGGTAAAGTAATTGGATCGCGAGAAAGCATGGAGAAGAGAGAAATATCGAAAATGATGGTGTGCCATTGTTTTATTTTAAGATACACCCAAAATAGAAAGAGAGTGGAGCCATTAAATTATTCCACGAATAATTTTTTAAAAAAATTGAGTTTTAAAAGGCCTTTCTCCCCCTTTAACCAAAACTAAAACTGAAACCAAAACCAGGATGTAAAACCCTGCTCTGTTGCAGAACATTGAAATTTCAAAAATGATAGCAAACTTATTTACCTCTCCCCTGGATTAACAAAAGCAAACATAGAAAAAAGAGTATCTTGGAGTTTATTCCCTTTACCTTGCCAATTCTAAAACAAATTGATATCAAAGAACTTTCCTCACTCCTCTACCAAGTCAACACATAGCCTCCTTGCTCACACAAAATTCCATTCAAGAAAAATAAATAAATAAACCTCTCATGCATGCACCAAATATAATCATAATCATCCATTTCCAACACAACAAAACACCCTGAAATTATTTTAATTAAAAACAAAAAAACTTCAGTCTCCCTTAAAACTTTTTCTTTTCCAAGACAAATGATCAAACTCATCAAAGTCAAAACAATGGTTAACTCTGCTCCATAACGTTCCACACAAATGTAAATGATCAAAACAACCAACAAAACGCCAAACACACAAAATCGACACGTGACAACAACAAGCACAAACGAGAAAGAAAAGGAATCTTGTTCATTTTCTTAGCGTTTTGCGGAATCCAAAGAGCGAAACAGAAGGGAGAAACTCACCCATGTAAATTGAGCTTGACTTTGCGGTGAACAGTGGGTCAATGGCGGAGCAAACCCTAGGAGAGAGAAAAAAAGAAAGCGAGTGCGAAGAGAAAAAGCGAGTGCAATACCAAATGAATCCCCGACAGAATTTGAAATTGAAACTCTCCTAGCAAATTTCGCTGTCCGATTCGAAGCTACAGGGACAACACAACCATCAGCAAAATTCAGGAGAATAGGAAATGATAGTTTAGACAGAAACAAATTGTATATGAAATCCTACCCTAAGATCAATTGAATGCATACATTTCCCGCGTGCAGGTTTCGTAATCTAGGTTTTGATTCTCATTAGAGAATGGCAAATTGCGAGTATGAGTTGAAGAAAACAGAACAGATTTAATACACTTGGATGATCGAAAACTCACCATGAATGGATTAATCGAGTAGAAAAGAGAAGTTCCTCACGAACAGTAATGATAGAGACGAAAGAGCAAACGAAGGAGCTTGAATTTTCACAACCATCGTTTAGGTTGATTATTTTGAACTAAAATTGTAAATTTTTTTTTATTTTATTCTTTTAATAAAAAAATATTTTGATTGAG